GTGTGTGTGTGTGTGTGTGTGTGTGTGTGTGTGTGTGTGTGTGTGTGTGTGTGTGGTGACACACAGATTGCTGCTTCCTCCAGTTTTTCCCACTAAAAGCTTCACTTCCTGAATGTTTGATCTTGGGTCTGACATGATGAGAGGACACAGAGGATGGACAATGGATAATTACAAAATTGATTTATAAGAAACAAAAATTGTCTAATTAGCCTCTCAAAACACACAAAAAAAATAAAATTAATCCTTTAAAATCCACCTGTGTGTCCTCCATCATGACTGTTGGTTAACCTGGACTCCTCTAACCTGACGATGTGTTTTTATCCTTTTTCTGCAGACTCAACCAACTGTGACTCAGCTAAGATAAAGGTAACAAAACACGCGCACGCACACACACACACACACACACACACACACACACACACACACCTGTTTGGAACATTTTAAAACATCATGTTGTAAAAACAATGGCGGTGTTTCAGTGAGACCTTCTCTTCCAGCGGATGTGGGGCTCCAAGAAGGACCTGACAGCCAAGGACTTCCTGGCCCTGTCCATCATGTCCGCRGTCACGGGACGCAAGCGCAGGAAGCGCCGCAACGCCCGCCGCGTGGGCAGCAGTACCGACGACGACTCCGAGCACGAGCCCTTCAGAGCCGAACACCCGGGGACGGAGGAGGAGGAGGAGGAAGAAGAGGAGTCGCAACCTGTGGGAGACACCGCTCCTCGAGCAGAAGGAGAGGAGGACGAGGATGAGGAGGAGGAGGAAGAGGAGGAGGAAGAGGAGGAGGAGGAGGAAGAGGAGGAGGAAGAGGAGGAGGAAGAGGAGGAGGAAGTTGAAGGAGTGAAAGAGGAGGCGGTTGTGCCGTGCTGCAAAGAGGAAGAGGAGGCCGGAGGGGAGCAGGCGGCCACGTTGCTGCGGGAGGAGGGGGCGCAGGCGGAGGTGAAGGGGCGAGCGCCGGAGGACGCCCGCTCCATCGTCTCCGGTTACTCCACCCTGTCCACGCTGGGGCGGAGCTTGGGGTCGGAGGGCCGAGGCGAGGATGCGGACGACGAGCACAGCGAGCTGGTGAGTGAGACGGACAACGAGAGCGGCTTCGCCTCGCGCTCGCTCACCCAGGAGAGGCCCAGCAAACAAACAACAACAACAGAGCCCGCCCCCGTCCCGCGCAGCTTCCTCTACTCGCACTGCAAGCCCCCCAMCCTGGCTCTGAGCCCGCCCACTCCTGTCACTCACGCCCCCGACCCCGCGGAGAGGAGCGACAGAGGAGCGCGCTCCACCACGCCTTCGTCGTCCTCCTCCTCCTCCGCCGCTCACCGCCTGCACTCGCGGCCCTCCTTCAACTCGCACAAGCTGATCCAGTGCGACACCCTGGCCCGCAAGAAGCTCAAGACCCGGTCCCAGGACCTGGCCGAGTCCCTGGAGGAGGGCTCCGGGTCGGAGAGGCCGCGGAGGGACTCATCCAGAACCAACCCGTCCTCCAGCAGCAGCCAGGAGAGCCTGCGGCCGTCCCGCTCCGGACCCGCCCTGCGGCCCAGCGAGGCTGCCTCCTTCGCCCCGGCCGGCCCCGGCGGCGCCGGGGGGAGGTCCCTGGCGGAGCAGGTGCGGGCCCGGCTGCTGGGCTCGGCCGACGACCTGCGCAGCGTGGGGCTGAGGAGGCAGCCGTCGCCCGAGACGCGCCGCAAGAAGCGCGTGTGGCGCCGGCACACCGTGGTGGCGTCCCCCACGGAAGCGAGCGAGAAGAGACCCCCGTTGGTGAAAACACGAGACGTGCCTCAGGACGGGCTCGACCCGGGTCCGGTTCCACGCCAAACCCCCACCTCCAGATTCCACCAGTACCTCTGAAAGGACCGCCGAGCTGCCGGACGACATCATTCCACTGCTGCCAAAACTGATTTCTTCTTCTTCTTCTGCTCATAAAAAAGACGCAGACGTGGCCACGCCTCCTCACGGCCAGTGTCAGTTTCACAAATCTGAGTCTCCTCCCACTTCCTGTTCGGCTCACAGGTGAGAAATTAGAGTTCATTGAGAAAAATGGTGCTTCGAGTCGAACTGAGGGTCGTTCAGAATCGTCTGTTACTCACAGCAACGCAAACTAAACCGATTAAAAAAAAAAGTTTCCTCTTCAGCTGATTTATTTATTTTAATCAGTCTTCCTGAAGCGCTCCGGACCGCAGAAACTGTAAAACTCTAATTTATGCTCAGCTTCTCAGTGTTTGTGTTTACGCAAAAACAACAGCAAACTGTGGTCACGTGTGAGCGTTCAGGCGGAAAAATGTTTTGTAACATTTTGTACAAAGCCTCGCTAAGTTAACCGTGTAAATATCTTGTTTTTTAGTTGTTTTTTTATGGTTTACAGTCATTTCTTTCAAGACTTGAAATGTTTTTTTTCTTAATATATATTTTTTTGTTTATATTCTCTTAAAATATAAATATATATTTTATATTAAAGTAAAAATAAAGACTTTTATTGGGATCGAACCTTTTTGTTCCAAAACTCGCTCCTTTTGCTGGTTTACAACACTGTGCAGAAAACCTTTAACTCACCTGAAGGATTCAAGAAAAATGTAATTTTTGCAGACATCAGAGGTCGTTTAGAACCTCGGTTCTGAAAATAATCATCTGCAAATCTTGTATTAAATGTTGAAGCTAAGAAATTATTCGATTTTATGAAAATAATCAATTAAAATCTGGTGAAACTGAAACGAGAAGAATCTCCTCTTGTTTGCTGGATTGTTTGTTTCTCGATGAACTAAATGTGMTTTTTTTATTTAACCTTTATTTCACCAGGAAGAACATTAAGAACAGTTTCTTATTTATGACGTTGACCTGTAAATGTTTTAAATTGATTCGAGGTCTGGACTGCAGGCGGACCTGGTCCAGAACCTGGAATCTAATTTGGCATCGTCTTGCTGAAATGTGCAAAGCCTTCCCTGAAAATCATATAATTTGGATGATAGCTGATGTTCTAAAACCTGTTTATACTTTTTTTTTTACATTGACTGAATCACTAATGTACCCCTATACCATTAGAGAGGCAGGCTCCCCCCCAAAAAAATATTTATGTGAGCCATCACATCGAAACCAGGATTAAGTCCAAAAGTGGAGAAACAGGCAGATATAGGTTTTTGATTTAAACTTGTGTAAAAATTGCATTTTGTCCAAATGTAATGAATTAATGTCTTATGAATGTATCATTTGAATGAACTGTCTGAAATATAATCCTAAAATAAATTTTGAAGCATTTTTTTGAGCTGTAGCAACAAGAAAAACTGATTTTGAAGAAAAACGCCTTAAAATTTAAAATTTTTCCTTGTCAGCTGGCCATGTTTTGTTTCTTTCCTACTGAGAAATCATAATATACATATATTTGATGTTTCCTCTTTATATTAACATCAAAAATTACTCTATAAACTTACATAAAATTAAGAATCAGACCAAACAGTTATGTATTATCATAAACAACACGATAAATTAAGTCATATCTCTGGATTAGCTTATATCAGATGATCCTGGTATCAAAATGTAGCTTTTAAAGCAGGAATCTGAAAATGTAATTGGGTCGTTTTTGGCAAAATTTCACTTAATCCTCATTTCGATATGATGGGTCACTTATATTTATTGATATTATGAACAGTAAATGGGATATTTTACCATTAAGGAGCTTTATTCTGAAAGTATTCCCTGTATTTGTTGCAGTTAATTACTTTTAAAATGAACTTTTTATACCTTTATATGTTACCAGTTAACATAATTAATCATGGCTCCTCTTTTGTTATGAGATTTGCAGATTGTTCTGTTTGTATTTGATTTTTTTCAGAATCGGGGTTTCCGTAGCTCGCCTGGGTGAAACCTGAGCTCGTCGTTTTGGTGTTTGTTTGGGATTAAAGATCGTAAAGGTGTAGCGCAAACAAACAGGTCTGTTTTTTTCACCCGTCTGCACGTTTTGTCACCTCGGAGCGGCGTTACGACCAGGAGTATTGGTACAACTGAGAATTTAGTTTCTAGATTTTCTCTGGAACAAAAGGTGCAACTTATTATCTCACCAAAATTATCCTGATTGAGAAGCTCCTGTCTGGTCTTACCTCAAGATTCTTCAAGTGCCTGATTTATGAAAAGATTTTGTTTTTGTTTTTTGTCGTTTTCGGGTCATCCTCCAAAGTAGCTTATGGTAAAACCGACCCAAAGACGTGTACGTGGATCGAGCGAAGCATTTGAAAAAAAWAAATAAAGCAAGCACACTTCAAGCCAAGGATTCAATCTATGCACTCGCTCTTTGGCGCTAACAGCTGCTGCTAAAAGGAGCTTTTTTTTTATTATTATTATTCGTCGTGTGAAAACGGTACACCTGTTTAAAAACCCTGAAACTACATCGGGTCGAACCAAAAACATCCAGTTTCCTCACAGCCCGCATCAGTTTGTCTAAAATGTGATTTTTACCTAATGTTTTATTATATTAATCCTTTGTTTTGTACATACTGTCTTAATAACATATTGTATTGTGTACATTTGGAAACGCTTTACTGATGTAAAAAAAAAGAAATGACTGGACTAAAACATGGTTTTCCTCCGCCTGTTTGCTTTAAAGCAAGTTATATGTAAATAAACAGAAGTATGTTTAAATGAGTTCTGTGTTTAATTTCGCACTTCAGGAAGCTTGAGGCAGAATGGCGCCCTCTGGTGGCGGCAGGCGCAAAACACGTCTTTATCACATAAAAGGAAATGGTTTTTTATTACTTCTCTGTTAGCAGAAAATCTCCTGAACCACTGCATGAATTTCAATAAAACTCAGAAGGAAGTAATCACCAGATGTGCTGCTGCAACTGATTAACTTCTGGGGTTAGCTCCTTTCAAGATGGCCGCCACAGTGCAACAAAAATGGCTCCAACTCTTGCTTGTTTTGAAGATATTAACCTGAGATTTTGTGCAGTAGTAGCAGAGACTGGTCCATATTATGAGAGCCACCGGATAAACTTTGTTAGCAAAATATCTCGTGAACTATACAATCAAAAAATTTGAAATTTGTAGAAATTTTGCTAAACTTTGTAAATGAGATTCACTTCTAACACATAAGGAAGGCTTCAGCTCCCTGTGTTAGCAAAATATCTGCACATTTTTATGGCTATGCTAAGCTTTGAGTCGACCTAATGCAAAATGGCTACTATTAACTAAAAAAAAAAAGGCTAAAACTGTGTTGCAGATGAGCTACAATCTGACAGAAACTAATACCAGAAAGCACCAGTTGGTGCTTCTTCCTGCTGTTTCATTGATGAATCTCAGGGGTGTAAGATCTCCAGACCCTGCATGGTCCACAACACAATAGCTCCAATCAGAACTTCTCTTTTATTTTAACCAATTATGACACACAACTGTTAAAATGTTAAATCTGGGGCTTCAGCACGAAAAAAAAAAAAAGATAAATGTTAATTTCAGGCCCAATTAATCTCTGGTTTCAAGGAATTACAATTTTTTTTTTAATAATTAAAACATGAAACAGTTTGTCAATGGATATGCCTACAAAGTCGACCTGGAAAAAAATCCAACAAAAATATTGTTTAACATCTCTTAAAAAAACATTAAAAAGTACTCATTGAAAAGTCATGAAAACCAGACATTTAAATAAAATAAAAACATAAAAAAATGCACATTTTTTCATGTTTGAGGGTCTTTAAATTGAACATAGGCAGTTTTTAATAACCTTTCAGGTGGTTCTTAGCAGACTCCGCTTTGTTTACGTTGAGTGCAGACCCGCATTTTATGTTTATATTATCTGTAAAATTGGATTTCACACATCACCATTTGATATGATTCAGGATTAACTTATTAGCAATGAATACCTTTAATTTTTTTCATATTTACACTTCCTGTTTGCACAGGTCAGATAGAAAATAAACAAGTAGGCAACTTCATGTCCAAAAGACAAAAACTGATACAAACTCTGACATGTTTTTGTTGTTTTTAATGCAGCAGTCCCGTGTTTTTTTTTTTTAACCTTTATTAAAAACGGATGTGAAGTCCTTTACTTGGCGGGGACCTGGCCCCGGTCCTTGTTGGGCTGGTTCTGCAGGAGCAGCTCCGTGTTCTCGGCTCTCAGTCTCTCCAGCTCCAGCTCCATCTCCCGGATCCGGACCTGGGAGCCGTCCGGGGCGGCGCGCCTCAGCCGGTTGTTCTCCTCCTCCAGCCGGGACATGCACTTCTCCAGCTCCAGGTACTCCTGCACCAGCTCCTGCTTGGTCATGTTCTGCAGGCTCTCCACGTGGTACATCTCGTAAGTCTCGGAGAAGTCCCGCTGGAGGAACTCCCCGCCGGCGTTCCCGGGCCTCCCGATGCCGTCGCTCCCGCCGCCGCTGCCTTCGTCCTCGTCGTCCTCCTCGTCGAGGAGCTCCTCCTCGCTGCCGGTGTCCTCCGCCCCCAGCGAGCGCCGGACCCCGGTCTCGGTGTTGAGGTCCGGCTCCTCCCGGTCGTGCTCGTCCATGAGGAACTGGGTGGTGTTGTAGGGCGCGACCGGGAGCCCCTTGGCGAACATCTCCTCCCTCATCCGGGAGGCCCTGACGGTCTCCCGCTCCTCCAGGGCTTTCTTCTCCTCCCAGGACAGTTTGTTGTACGGCTTCCAGTTGCGCTTCTTCTTGGAGGTCCCGCGCCGGTGCTTCTTCTTGCCGGGGCGCGCGTCCAAGCCGGTGTCGGAGTCGACGAGCGAGCCCTCCTCCTGGACCCGGTTGCTGAAAGCCCCCTTCGGGCGCGGATCCCCCAGCGGGTGACCGTCGTGAGGCTGAGCTGCATTTCCGGATGCCAAGGCGGGACACACCTCCCTCTGTCCGCCTTTCGTTTGCCAGAACTTGTCGGTGTTGACATCGTCGCAGCTCTCCGCCCGCCGCCGGTGGTTCTGCGCTCTCTGGCGCCCCCTGGCGCCGTTTTGCGGTAAAGCGTGGTTGCCGGCCGGGAGATGCTCCGACTCGTCCCCGCGGGTCCCACCTGACGGGCTGCCTAAAGTACCCAGGTGAGGGCTCTGCTCCATCGGCTCTGCCATGATCCTGACGATCTCTTCTGTTGGTTCCTCCGTTTAGCACATTTTAGTTCATTGTCTTAAAAAAACTGAAAGCCAAAGTCTGCTTTAAAAAAGGCGGATAAACTTATTTTTGACCCTCCTCCGACCGAACAAAAAAAAAAAAAAACAGAGCAAGTTTAAAGAAAAATATGCGATAAGTTTTAAAATGGACTCCCGTAAAGTCAAAAAGTGAACTTCCGAAGAGTAAACACTTGTTACTCCTCCAAGGGTTTGTCGGAGCAACTGTCGCTAACTACCATTAACTGTTTCGTTGCCGTCAGCGCTCACGCTGTCCCAGAGACCGCGTTTCACCGCCACAACAATGTCCAGTGTGCTACTAGAGGAGAGGCAGCTCCTGATTTTATACCAACTCCGCCTCCGACCGTGCGCATGCTTCTTTTCGTAGCGCCGGGTGCATTGTGGGAAATGTCGTTTTAACGACGTCTCAAGCTAAAAGCTCCAACACGGCCGTGAACTACATAATCCACAAGCASGTTTGGATCGATGCGAGTTTCGACCAATAGAAATATAGGATCTGATGCCCTGCTAGCCCCGCCCTGCTCGTTCCTGATTGGCTCGCAGGGTAGCTTTGCTGTTGCTAAGCTTGAGTTATTTTCTGACAGGGCGGTCTTGCTGTCAATCATCTGAGCGTAATCKACACCGAAAAAAGCAGTCCCGGGCGTTTTTTGTGGACTGTACCATTGCAGCGAGAGGGTTAAATAATACAGACAACAAAATACAAGTTTGACTCAGCGACTTTTATTCGACATCTTCTCGAATCAGCAATATATAACCATGTATATTATTTGAAAAAAAATAAAGTTTATGTTTTGTTGCGAGCACACCGTTCACAATAAAATTAATAATACAGTAAAAATACACCGTTATTTGAAGGCAAATGGAACAATCCATCTACGAAATATAGTCCGTTTTCAATGTTCCTATCAGAAAATAAGTATTAACATTTCGTTCTTTAAATTAAATTATTTTTAAGCATCTGCGTATTAAAACGCAGCTTTCAAACAATAAATTTTTAGCGAATAAATGTTTCCGTTTCGGTGGACCGTGCGGTGCGGAGTGATACGTCGAAGGGCAGCGGCTCTGGGGGGAACTCTACGAGCAGCGTAAACAAACGACATTTATTGTGAAGCTGCAAGAACGATCAGAACCTCGAACCCCTCGTTGTCAAAGGGTGGGTCAGGCGATCTCACACTCGCTCAGTAATCCTTTTCTCAACGGACGGAGTGGTGTAGATCAGTTTTGGTGTTTTGTTTTTAGTCGCAGCCCCAAATTACGCACCCGTTTACACGGAGTTAACGTTAGCCGAGCGTAGTTAGCAAATGAGCGCTAGGTTATCGCTCGCAAACTAAACACCAAAAAACATACAAAAAAAYTCATACTGTGTGAAGTCAAATGCCCTAAAATAAAACAACCTTAAATCCTCGGCATGATGATGTTGCAGGAAATAGTTCCTTTCAGATGAAAAACGTCACATTGTACATGAAGCTAGGCTAACAACTAGCTCGTGCTTCGGTGCTTCGTTCTTGTAAAAGAAGATAAATGTAAAGACTATATTAAATAAAAGCGTTTTTTATTAACACACAGCTGTCGACACAGCMTAATCTATCACACAAATTTATTACAACACTTAAAAACACGAACATTAGCGTTACGCTAAKTAGGCCAACGTGTTCGCCACGCCTCCGTTTAATTCCTGGATTATGTTTTCATTGCGACTTTCCTATAAGATCATTACAGTTAAATCAATGCACTTCTGTGCCAAAAAAACACGACCAAACGGGCCGAACGCATCGCCTCAACATCGTGTTACCAACTAAAGAACAGGTCCTGTGCATGGTTTTAAGTCACACGACAGACTTGCACAGATCCAGGAAGTAGTCGCAGCCTCAGCGTCCAAGGAACCACAGAATCTTTGCTTTAGTTAGCATAAAATTAGTACGCTCTTATTTTGTTTTACTTGATTTTATGCAATTGTTTTTCAGAKTTCGTTGCTGTTTTTAGATTGGGCACAATAGGAGTTCAGTAAACGAGAACATATAAAGAACTGTAATGTAATTATCTTGACATTTTTATTGCTATATTGTACATTTTTCCTGAAAATAACATCGAATGCCTTGCAGATGTCTAGAGTTAGTAGGTGAACTCTTTATTTTTATGTGTGCAAGCTGCACACTCATGTAGAAACCCAAATAGTTCCTTAACAGTGGTTACAATGCAGTTTTTCTTTTAAGTGCAGAAACTGGTTATTTAGTATTTTATTTGGAACTGAATGGTGTCCTCGTTCTAACRCTGCTTGTAAACAACAGGAATCCAGTGGCTACAAACAAGACAGCATAACTATTTCTAACAGAAGCAGGGCCCAGTTTCACCTCTGGCAAATTGTCAGGCTGAACTAGGAATCCTTTGAGGGGGAGAGAGAGAGTGAGGTGACACGCTCCAGTTAATGAAAAACCTGACGACTGGTAAGGAAGTGGAGATCACACCAGGGTATTCTCAAATCCAGGAGTGGTGCAGCTACACTGTCGCTCCTGCAGAGATCACAGCCTGGGAGGATTACCAACCATGACTTAATCTCTCACTCGGCATAACGTGGTTGTTGCTGCTGTTGAGAAAAGATGAAAACAGTTTGGGTGTGTTAACAAGGCTCAAAGTCAAAGAGAGATTTATGAAAAACCTGTGCTTTGTGTGTTTGGATCTCTGCAGGTTTCTGTCAACGCCTGCCTTATAACTCCTTTATTGGAGATTTACTGCTCAGTCTGGACTCTTGTATTTGTGCAGGAGTGGTAAAAAGCACATCCTTTTGAAAATCCATGCAGACAACATGTGCAAAAGGCATCAAAAGATGAAATGGATTTGCAGAATTGTTGAAGTCTGGCAACTCACCCAAACCACCAGCAGGGGGCGCCCGAGCCTCGTTTACTGGTGTAAAGTACATGTTTGAACACACACACACACACACACACACACACACACCACGTGGGGACCTTCCATTGACTTCCATTCATGTTTTTTAGACTTTATAGCCTAACCCTGARCATGTACTCTAAAATTAAGCTCACAGAAACTTACCTGACCCTAAAACTAACCTAAACCTTGGTCCTAAACCTAACCCCACACCTGTAACATGCATTTGGACCCCCCCACGATTCACCTGGCTGCTTTTTTTTGTAAAAAATACCCCATGTTGTAGGAAAAACCCGTACACACACACACACGTTTGTTTCTCGACCCGTGGGGACCTTCCATTCATGTTTTTTAGACTTTATAGCCTAACCCTGACCATATACTCTAAAATTAACCTCACAGAAACTTACCATGCATTTGGACCCGTGGGGACCTTCCATTCATGTT